ATCATTTCATAGTATCATGATGTTTTAATAGTCAGGAGGTGACAATTTAAATCGAAATGTCTCAAGTTTAAATCCTAATACATAGGAAAAGAAAAACAAATCTATTAGTACCATTTCTCACAACTGTTGCCAGCAATAGAATTAGTCCCACAAGCTTATTGGCCAACTCACTAAATCTTGAATATCAGAAAAACAAATCAATAAATGGCAAACGATTGGTGGTACTAAGAGAAAGGTGGAGACTCATAATAAGTACCACAAGAAGTCATTATTGATTAGTTTTCTCCTATCTTTTTCAGGTCAGCCTAATAATAGAAAAGAAAAAAAAAAGTTGTTACGTGTGCTTCCCCAGAGTTGGTAAATCGCCATCGGGACCAAATTCTGGATAAAAAGTTTTGTCGATCATAATATCCAACCAGACAACAATCTCTCCACATCAATGATCTATGAGGTTGCCGCATGTTTGAACTTTGTCATACCAAGTATTTCTAGAAGATTTTGACACAATTGTCTTCTTCCCTAACCTTGGAACAAATATTAGTTAGAAGAGTGCCAAATAGCACCCACTACTCTCTTGGATGCAAATTTAATTAACATAACTAGGATTATGAAGACCAGTTATGACAAGAGGGCTTGCTCAGATGGTAAGCGCTCTACTCCTCTGACCTTAAAGTTGCAGTTTTAGTCATCAAGAGAGCAAAAAAGATAGGAACGAGGATTATTATTATTTTTAAAAAAAACGAATTTTTAAGTTGAGAATTTCTTTTAGCAATGTGAAGTGTAATAACAAGGACAATTAATTACAATATGTGGTTAAACAAGGACATCTTTTCTAATAATTCCTATATATCACTTCAAAAGAAAAGAGAATAAGAAACATAGTGATGACCAATAATGTAAGGCACTTGAAATAAGTGGAGATCCACCATTTCCAATTATTTGTCCATGGTAAGACACAAGTGGAAAATATACATACCAAATAATGAAAGGATTGAATAGTACTACTTATTACACCCTTGAGCTAGATCCACCATGAATGTCGTTATCAATGGTGCTCCATATATATATATATATATATATATATATATAAGCCCTGTTACTTAGTACGTACGACATTGAATGGAGTTGTTCACCAGCTGACCAATTTTACCGAGAGCACATGTATGTACCTACATTTGCTATATGTTAAGTAGCATTCACCTTTGTACTCCGATCTTCTTCACACGCATCCTCAATCACTTGATAAAAGTCACAAGTGGATCTCCAAAAAATTTCAAGTACCATCCATCCTTTTTATAACAACGTCATTTGTTTGATAGAGGACAAACAATTATAACACAACCTGAAAATCGATTCCAAAGAAAACTTTGTTGTTATAGAAAAATCTAATTTTTATATAGATCTCATTGACTCTAAATCCTCAATTTGCCACGGATGAAAAAATGGGGTAATTACGTGGTGTCAATTAATTCAACAGATTTTATTAGCAATGTTCCTATTTCAACAGACAAAGAACACAAGTAATATTCAATCTCTCTCACACATGCATGCACAAAAAATGACATTGTCTAGCATATTCCAAGAAGACTTGGTAGCAAGTGAAGTGACAAAGGGAGAATGAAGATGTTATTGGCCAAGGAAATGGATATTTGTTGTCTGAGGGACCAGGTACTACTACTGCACTTTGTTGATTTATTGGAGACTCCACATGACAATAAAAGCAAGGGCCTAAGAAATTCGAAGGAGGCATATATAAGCCCACATTTTACGCCCACAAAATATTCCATGTGCCTCTTTCCCGAACCATAGCGAATTCAAAATTTGAAGTTTATGTATCTTATAAATTCTAATAGTTTAAAATTAATGAATTCTAAAATTTAAAGAATTTTTGTTTTAAAATCGATCCTTAAAACAAAAATAGAGTTTTGACTCAAACTAATGGATTCGGTCAAATGCACACCATAATCGGTATGTCTGCCCTTGTTTCTAGGGCAGTTAGAGTGTGTTAATTAGTTAATATCCAATCGAACCCCATACGAAACATAAATGTATTTAAGAAAACTACCAAAAATAAATTCTGAACTTATAATTTTGGAAGTACTATTAAGTTTAAGCTCTGCCATTATATATTTAATAAAAATACAAAAACAGCTAAGGGAAAGGGACTTTAAAACAAACATGATAAACCAGTGTCTTACGCAATTTCATATAACTTGATGTGAAATTTTGAGATAACGATAATATCTGATTTAATCCTCTTCCATGAATGGTAGGTCCCTAAACTTTTTCAGTCTGGCCTAGTTGACCCATGAATATTGATCCATCATTTTTCAAGTTTCAACCCACACCCCAACAGTGTGTTTCTTTGTAGAAATTAATCCTGGATTCTTGTAACATCACATGACATATAGTTTTTGACCTTTCACAATTTTATTTTTTATTCTTCTCTCTATAAATGTTTTCAGTATTTTGTGATTTTTAGGTTATAGTTATACAAAGGAAAGCAAATTTTCCTCTAGCTCAAACCATTTACAATGTCTATGGGTTATTTATTCTTCCACATTCCCTAAATTATCTCAGCTTTGTTAACTAAACAGTATTTGAAGTAGTAACTTTTTTCTTAAATGATTGGTAATTGGGTTGGTGTGGGCTGATTAGGAGAATAGATTTGAATGGGCTAACTGGATTGGGCTACGATGGGTTGAATGTCTTTCACCTCAACCCAAAAAAAAAAAGTGAAAATAAACCTGCAAATAGTTTTTATCTATGTTTCTCGGATTCTTTAAAAATGTCAACAGTTTTATCAAAGTAGGGTATTTTGGAGAATTCGATACGAATACGGCATCAGAGATTCTGTGCAACTAAGGTTTTATACTATAAATTGGGACAGATAATTCTGAGTTGGTAATAATAGGAAACACAATAATTTTTAGAAAATTCCAATTAAAAGTTAAAACAAATAAAGAATTGAACATACGATTCCAGAAGGAAAGGGGAAAAAATAGAAATAATGTTACTTGTTTAAATAAAAATATATATTACGTTAAGGGGTCTCGCTTGAGAAAAGTGAAAACAGTAAAAATTGAACTCGTTAATTATTTTGTGAGAGAGTAACACTAGTAATTAATTTGGATTAGTTTAAGGTTAGCCACATTCCACTGAGGCAGGAAGGAACAATGTCAGAAGGTTTTTTTTTTTTGGCTTGATTTATTATTTTTCTTTTCTTTTTAACCCTTCTAATTAATTATTATATTACTGTTATTTAATTATAGTCACGTGCAATACATGTGAGCGCTACTTAGACAATAGTTGAACATTGAAGCAATTAGTAGGGTATTAGGTACACCAATTAATTTAATCATTTAATTTCTACTAAATATTTTTCAAATGAACTAAGAAATTGGAAAAGAGAGTCTTCAAAAGAAAAAGGCATCATTAATTTAAGAATGTATAGACAAGAAAAGTAATAAAGCATTAAAAAAAAGGTATGGTGTGAGATAATTCAGTTATAACTCCTCTCTTTCTGTTTCTGGGCACCATTTTCTTCTCTTTTTTTCTGGAAAAAATTTATTCAGTAGTATCTACATTAAGCCAAAAAATGACCTTTCTTTTTATAAGGGATATCATTTAATTATGTTTAATCGATACATAAAATTTTATATGCTTCCGCCTCTTTTTCTTTTCTTTTTTTGTATGGTTTTTTCTTTAGATCTGCAAACATCAAGTAGTACTAATTTAATCATGTGAATAATAATCATGAGTCTCAATTGAGTACTAGATTTTTATTTATTTATTTGTATGACTTCTTTATATTTACAAGAATCACTATCACACATTCAAAATAATGAAAATTATGTCGGGTGAGTGAATGAATTTAAGTGTGATTTTTATTCTTCAAGTATCACAAATTTGTTCATATAGATAAATTCTATTACAAAATCGTATCAAATTCATCATAAAATTGTGATGAATTAGTCCGTCACAAATATTCCATCACAATTTGTGTTTTTCCTATAGTGGACAGGGTATGACTTTAGGTATAATTTTAAAAAAAAAAAAAAAAAAAATTGGTCATGAATCATGCTACATTGACAAGATTAATTTATGTTATTTAATTGTTCACAAATTTTGCCTCGCTCTATCTCGTTCAATTATTTACAGGTCCAACCTTATTGGCACACTTGTTTAGTTTGTTTAATTTTTCTCATATGAATTAAAGCATTCAACCAAAATAATGTATGCCCATATTGGTATACGATCGTTTGCATCCATTTAGGATCACTTGGCTGAAGAATTTAGGGTAAATTTAACTAAATGCTACGGCACTCCCGTCTTTTTTCCTTGTTTCCCATATTAGCGACAATATTAATTTTACTTGAAAGCTCGCAATTACTTTGTGCGTATAGTGAAATAGTGCACGTTCCGAAAGATATTAGTAATTACATGAAAGAATAAGGAAAGGGCGCAAAGATGTACAACTTTTAGAATTGAATAAAAGTTAAATGCAAATCCTTAGAGAAAAAATAACGAGTGAAATCTGTAGAAACCAAAAAAAAGGTTATGTAGCCTCAAGTGTTTAGAGGACAAAAAATGGAATAGTCGTTTTCATAGTCGTTCAAGTGTGCTCCACAACACAAAAAATGAATAACTCAATGCGCACTCTCTCTCGTGCTTCTATTTTCCCCTTCTCCTTTCACTTTCACCTAACACTCTTTCAATTCTTTAATTTTCTTTGGTGATTTGCCATTGTAGAATGAGTGCTCTGCTGCCTGGCCCCAAAATCATATCTCTTTCTCTCACTTATTTGGCCTCAAACCATTACATAAAGTATGACTTAAATAAATGAATGAAATAACTCATTCTCTCTTCCTCAGGCCTCATCACCACACCAACACGACACTTTTTAGTTTTTATTAATTCTCTACCCCCTCTCCTTTTTTCTATTACTATAAATTAATTGGTACAGTCATAGAATGGAATAACAGAAATCCCTCTTCTTTTTTTGTTGCTTCTTCTCTCCAATTTTCCCACAAACTTTTTTTAAACAAAAAAAGAAAAAGAGAGAACACAAGCCTCCTTTCTCTTTTATTTTTTTAGTCCTTTCTCTCTCTTTCTGCGGCTCTGCCTCAGCCGCTGCTAACGTTGTTTGCTGACAACACTACGCAAATTTCAGAAAGACTAAAAAAGAGAGCCACCACCTCCTACAAAATTCTTGATTTTCTCTCACTCTTGGCCAAGAGTTTTTTTCTCGTTTCTCATTCCACCTTTAGCTCACACCCAGTTAAATGGGTATTTGGAGCAACCTACTTGTGCTCCTTCTTATTTTCCCTTTTTGTACACCAGATCCAAACGATGAGATGTGCTTGACCCATCTCAGTCAATCTTTACAAGACCCTTTGAAGAATCTTCAAAACTGGACTAAATCTTCCTTCGCTAAACCTTGTGATGGGTTCACTTCATATCTACAAGGGGCAACTTGTAACAATGGCCGCATCTACAAATTGTCCCTTTCGAATCTCTCGCTTAAAGGTACCATTTCTCCTTATCTCTCTAATTGCACCAATCTCCAAGCTCTTGACCTCTCTTCCAACGCAATCTCCGGCCCAATACCTCTGGAACTCCAGTTCCTAGTCAATCTGGCTGTTCTCAACCTCTCAGCTAATCAACTTTCAGGCCCAATTCCTGAACAGCTCGCCATTTGCGCTTACCTCAACGTCATCGATCTTCATGATAATCAGCTTAATGGGCTTATCCCGCAACAACTGGGCCTCCTTGTACGGCTATCAGTTTTCGACGTATCGAACAATAGATTATCGGGTCCGATACCAGCGTCACTGGGTAACCGGAGCGGAAATTTGCCCCGATTCAATGCCAGTTCGTTTGATGGGAATAAGGATCTTTACGGGTACCCATTGCCACCCAAAAAGAGTAATGGGTTATCGGTTTTGGCAATTGTAGGGATCGGATTAGGAAGTGGGTTCTTGAGTTTGGTGCTAAGTTTTACTGCTGTTTGCATATGGTTGAGAGTTACTGAGCAAAAATTGGATGCTGAAGAAGGAAAAATCAGTCATCTTATGCCTGATTATTGAACACAAAATCATACTTTTCAGATTACAGGTATGTTAATTTTTTATGAGGCAGGTTTGTTTTTTTTTTGTTTGGGTTTAAATTTTCCTTTTCTATTGAGGAATTAATTTTACCCTTTTCCTAGTTTTGGGTTTTTTTTATTTTTTAGGTCATTATTTTTCTTTTTGATTATTTGTTTAGCTTCGTTTTCTAACATTTGACCCCAATATGTAAAGAATTGAAGAAAATTGGAATTGAGTTTTTAGTACATAATTACTTTTAGCAGTACAGCATTAATCTGTACTCTAATTTGATGCCTGGGCAGTGGGTTGGCTTATGTCCACTCCAGGTTGTACAAATTATACGTGGATAGTACTTATCCTAATATTAAAAAAAGCAAGGCAAATCGTGCGTATATTTTAGTAGCAAATCATAGAAAAATGTAGCTCATTTACAGCTCTGTTTCAACACCACGACTTGTTGTTTGTAGTTTAGTTTTTTGTTTTTCGAACAATCACAGAAACACGCAGGATGGTTTTGTTACTACCAACTTTAAAATTCTTGTTTCGACTTTTACTATTTGTATAATTTGTCTTTCTCTATAAAAAAAATAAGAATAAAAAAAGCAATTACTTCGTATAGTTTTTAAATTGAATATGCATGCCTATAGACTATAGTCTTTGAGAATTAATATTTAACTTATATGCACGATACAATTCGGCAAAAGTTAAACGGAAACATCACCGCTAAAAAAAAAAAAGAGTTACAGTTAGGGGAATTCAAATGTTAGGTTGTTGCCAATATATAACTAAAAAGATATTTGTGGCGCCTCAATGTTTGGTACAATCACGTTTGTTTACGCGTTTTTATAATGAAGGAGTATTGGTCTATAAATTTTAGGCAACAAAAGCCAGCAAAATCGGAATATGCATTCTACCAACAATGTCTGTTAGGATTTTATAATAAATGTACTCTCTCTCTTTTCCTTTTTACTAGTTCAATTTTGACTTTTTACTTGTTATTTTTAACAAATTACAAAAAGACAATATTTTTTATCTATTATATCTTTAATTTATTTAAAGAATTAATAATTATTTAAAGAGCTAATAATTTTGAAAAAGATAGAACGTCTTTAATGAATAAGTTGATTTTGGAATTCTATTATTAATAAAGATAAAATGATAACTTTAGTATGTCAATTATTATTATTTTAATAAGTGTGTGAAGTAAAAAATGAACAAATTATTAGGAACTGAGGAGTACACTTCTTGTGGCGTTTAAATTTATAAACAGTTTGATTTGAACAGAAACTTTATGAAACTTCCTCTCTTTTTTTTCTTGTTATTTCCCCTGATTTTAGGTGTTTACTTAAAACAGCTACTTTATTTCTACTCCATCCGATTGCTTTTGCTTAATTCACAATGTATTTTGCACTCTTTAGAAATAATAAATGAAATGAAGTACTAAATATTTCATCATGATACTCATATTAATTGACTTATAGTTTTTTTTTAATTGGTTTATAATTTTTATGGGCTTAAGAAATAATTTGAAATGAATTAGTAAAAATTAAGGATAAAATAGAAAAAGAAAATTGTTTTATCTTAATATGCAACTGAACAAATGAAAATTAATTTCCACGCAATTTGTAAAATATGAAATGATAATATTTCAATTTTTATTTTCGTAGTCTATTTTAAAATTAAGAAAAAAGTTTTTCGCTCGTAACAAGAAGTCTTTATAAGTACACAAATGGAATGACGTAATTAAGAAAATTATAAGTTAATCGTAGCTTAATCGTCACAAAAATGGTATGTAATATTTAAAATAATAATTCTTATTTTTTTCTTAAATTCTATAACGATTCAAGCTATAGCAACATAATGTAATCTCAAAGTAGGAATTTTAGGAAGGTGATGTATGTGTAACCTTTCTCCTTGCTTGTGAAAATAGACAGTTTGATACGGATAATCAAAGCAAAGAAAATAATAAGTAATACGTAATAAATTGAAGAATAAGATAGTTGGATAGAGTAATAACAATGTTGATAAAAAATAAAAAAAAACGCTAATAACTCCTACATCCTAAATTTCGATCTTCATTTTTTTCCATATCGATTCAAACTATATCACAAAAATTAAAAGAGAACATTTTATAACAGAAATTTCAAGAATCATTCATGCATGCCTCTAGTTTAAAAGTACCCCTTTTATTTTACCGTAAATTCTCTTTTTTAAATTTGATTTAAAATATCTTAGATTTAAAAAAATAAAAATAAAATTGGAACAGTGTATTAAAAATTAGAACAGCTTAGAAGCTAATTGGTTAGATACACTCTAGTTTGCAATATTACGTATCTTACCACATTTTTGTGCCTCCAAATAGTCAAGATATATGTATCGCAGATACATGGGGTCAAATTTATGTGTAATTTGTTCTAGATACATTGTATCGAAGTGGATTCGCATGTATCAAAGATACATAACAAATCTCGCTTGCCTCTCTCCCATCTCAATCGCCATGATCCCTCCAGATGCATACAAATATATGTATCTATTGTGATTCATCCTTATTTTTGTGTACTAGTAGCAAAAAAAATGTATCTAAGTGTAAGATACGTAGAAAACTCTTAATTAATAGTAAGATACATAATATTTTTAAAATAAAAATAATATACTCTATATGATACTGAAATATGTCTCGTAGTTTTTTCATTTTCCGTTACTTGCCGCCTTGAATATCCAAGACGAGAGTACTGCTAAAAGTAAGAAAAAGACGTACGCCCGCGCGGTATTGTTTATACCAAATCAATTTATTAAGACATATGTTATGTATTTGAATATTTATACTACTTAAATTAAATTATTTCGTTCGATACAAATATTGAGGATAAGTGTGCGACTAAATATTTGCAGTATGAGATGAGCAGTATTTAATTCCTTTCCATCAACAGTAAAATACTTTTTTCCGAAACACAGATTTAAACATGAACGATTCAAAGAAACGGCATTGTTTAGTGGATATCAAATTGTCACCAAACACAATAACTTGCCAATTACTATCTTTTTTCGAATGAGCATAATTAAAAACTTGGTTGAATGAAGTTCAAATTTCAGCTATTTGTGCTATAATTGACCGTCGTGGATTAAAGTGGTTGGCATCATTATTTACTTTGATCTAGCCTGTCTGTCAGCGAAATCATTCTGCTTCTTCTTCTTCTTTTCCTAATGATTTTATTTTTAAAAAATTACTTAAAAATCTTATAATACATGTAGCAAAATAGTGGTGATGATAGAAATTCAAATAAGATCATTTTTAAAGAAATTTTATGTTAAAATGGATTATATATATGCATAGAAAGTTAATTTTATTCTATTAATATAATACTTTCTCTATCCCAATTTTTAATCTATCTCGAAGGGAGTATAATTTTTCAACGAATAAGATTTAGTCGAATCTTTACGTCTCTCTGTCTCTGCCCTGTTTCAAAGCGTGACTAAAAGTCTTTTTCAAAACGCATGATGCGGCTTATAATTTCTGATTTGATCCCACTTCTGTAACTAGAGAAGAATTAATTTCATCTACATTAAAAGGTTAAAGCATACTCTCTTTCTAATTTTTTCAATCATTGACCACGACATTTTGAAATATTTTAAATATATGTAGATAGTTGCAATTTCTATATGTAGTACTATATCCATCGATTATGAATTGACATTTTTGCTATTGTGAGACTTCCCGAACATTTTGACTTATACAATTTTATTTCTCACTTAATTTATTAAAGTATTTCAATTTTAAATTTTGATGTAATACTATTGTATAGGACTAATGTTTTAATAGACAACAACAATAATAATAATGTACCTAGGTGATTCCGACATTTTTTGACTCACTTTTAAAAAATAAGTCTGACGTGTAACAAAATTTTATGATAAAAATATTGTATAATAAAGAAAACTATTCAAACAAAAATTGTAAAAATAACTCGAAGTAAAAACAACACAAATGAATAATAGTACAAGTAAGAATAAGTAGAAGAGGGACCATACAAGGTGTTCTAAGCTAGAAGGCTAGAACCATGTTCCTTAAAGAGGATACGGAGAAATTGTTCAGCTACCTACTAATTCTTATTTTTAATTTTTGACTTCTGTGTGTTTTTAAATCTAAAAATATGTCTATATTGAGCTGAAGATTTATCATGTTATGTCTATCCATCTCTTCATAATTTTTTTTTGGTCTATCTCTACCTCTTCTTAGACCAATCACTGTCAATCTATCGCACTTCCTCATAATCAAGACATCTATGTTCCTCTTATATACATGCGCAAATCTTTTCAGTTTACCTTTTCCATCACTCAAGTCAATCCAACCTAACCACAACATTTTCATTCCTAATCTTATTTCTCATAGTGTGCTAACATGTGAATCTTAGCATCCTCGTCTCCTCTATATTCTTGAATGTATGCCTGACTAGCCAACAATATTATCCCCCAAACAACATAATCGGCCAAATAATCACTTTATAAAATTTATCATTACGTGTCCTCTGTAACACATTTTTATCACATAGAACCATTCGATGCAAGACTTCATTTCATTTATCCACTCTAATGTAATGTGTGATACCATCGTCAATCTCCCCATTTTCTTGGATTATTAACTTAACATACTTAAACTTTCCTCTCCTCAATTTCTAAATATTGAAACAGTGAACTGTGATGAAATATTTATATGCTTTATTTAGTAAGGTCGAAGTGAGAATATACTAGAAGAATTGGTGGTATTTCGGTTAAAGATTATACCAGGTAACCTTCTTATTATTTATCTAAGGAGGAAAATAGTTTCTAAAAGTTAACAGTTTTGATATTTATCATGTATGTCTTTGGAAAAAGATTTGCAAACCATATGGTTTTTTGAATGAATTTTCCTTGCAAAAAGTGTTGCCTTTAAAATTCTTTAGTTTGCAGAATGAGAGATGCACATTTTTGTTTGATAAAATAGTATGTCAAAATGTTATAGCTGGAAGGCTATTATTTGAAAAGAAAAGCATATCTATGTGATAATCTATGAATATGCTCAATTCTGTTTGGAGACTGAAAAAAAGACTTTTGTAATTTTGTACTCCATGTGAAATTTGATTGTATTATTTTTTTTAGACTAAAACCTTTTGTAGTTTTCTACTGTGGAAAAATTAGACTATGCAATTGATTTGAAGAATATGAAAACTTCACATAATAAGTCAATGTT